GGGTGGGCCGGGTCTTGTTTTTGTTGTGCGCCCGGCCGTAGCCGAGAGGGCACTCCGCCCGCCCACCTGCTCGCCCGCGTATTGTGGCTGCGCCAACAACAAAGATTGTTTCTTTTGCGGGACAACGAGCGCAGCCGTACGCGTAACTGACAGGGCCCCGCGGACAGCCGGGTCACTGGGCTCCGCGAGTGGGCGGGCGGGGTCCCCAGGCGGGGTCAGCCTCAGCCAGTTCTCCCAGGGCCTGTCTGGAACCCCTCTTTCGGGACCGCTTCGCTGTTCACGGGTTGGATGCAAACAGGGATCGGATAGGCGCAGGGCTGGAGTCGGGACTGGGAGCTGGAAGGGAACCCAGAACTCGCGCGGATTGTCGGAAATCCGAGAGGACCAGCGTGGGGAGGGGGAGCGAAGGGCAGTGCGAGAGGACCCCGGGGATGTTGGGAGAGGCAGGTGGGAGGCAGGAGACGAAATAAAACGAAAGGAATTGGAGAGGCGCAGGACAGCGACACGGGAATGGCCACGGAGGAGAAGCCGAGGCGCGGAGAGTGGGGAGGAGGACGTGGGCCGGCGGGAAGGAGGGACGGGAGGTTAAGATCCGGGGAGGCGGGTCGGGTGGGTCTGGGGAGGCGCGGCCTGGCCGGGCGGATAGGGGTCGCGCCGGCTGCGCAGAGCGGGAGGCCGCGGCGTGGGGAGGGTGCAAGGCGGGCGCAAGGTGGGCCGGGCCGGGCCTCTCTCACCGCCACTTGGTCCTCCGGTTTTGGAACCAGGTCTTGACCTGCGCGTCCGTCATTTTGAGGGACTTGGCGAGCGCCGCCCTCTCGGCCGAGGCCAGGTACTTCTGGCGATGGAAACGCTTTTCCAGCTCACAGATCTGCACCCGAGAAAAGGACGTGCGCGGCTTCTTACGCTTGGGCGGCGTCCTGTTCTGGTACGGGTGGCCGATGCGCCGGGTCACCGTGAAGGGCGTGAGCGCCGCCGCAGCTGCGGAGACACACGAGGCCCC